AGGGAGGGAGGGAGGGAGGGATTTGAGCCAATGTGTGAAGCTTGGAGCCAGGATTCACCTCTGAGGGCAGAGCAGGAATTTGAACCTAGTGCTCTCTAGCCCCAAAGAGATGATAGGAGGCGTCAAGTTTCCCACCTGGTAATTGGGACTCCCTCCTCTCACCCTACCTTCAAATCCCCAAAGCCCCAGCACTTACCCTTCCCACCCTTTCCCCATGGGGAGGAAAGCAAGTGTGGGTGGGGGCAGCCCCTCACCAATAGATCACTCGAATCACGATTTTTTTGTCCACTTGAAAGTACTCGCTGCTGGAGGCGACTGTGTTGGCAGCAGGAGGTAAAAAGGTGGCCAACGGGGAGGCCCCCAGGATGGGCCCAGCCGTGGAATCTGTCAAGTTGGTGGCCGCTGGATCTGCCGTCGGGGTGGACTCAAGTGTGAGCTCCAGTAAATCAGTGGCAAACGGAGTGAGCGCAGGGAGGGGCTCTTCGGTGGGCCCGGGTCCACTGGTGACTGATGGGCCGTGCTCCCCACCACGCGTCGGCGCAGGATCCTTATCGAGCAGCAAAGCGGGCTCTGGAGCAGGTTCTGAGGCCGGATCCAGAGGTAGCGCCGAGCTCGAGGAGGACTCCACGTCGGGGACCGCGGCCAGGACCGACGGGGGTGGGGCTGAGGTCAGCACCGGATTCGGGGCCCGGACTGGTGTCGGGGTCTGGACCGGGGTCACGGCCGGGCCTGGAAGCAAGGTCCGGATCGGAGTCGGCGTTCGGACCGGAGTCGGGGTTCGGACCGCAGTCGACGCCGGGACTGGAGTCGGGAACCGGACGGGGGCCGAGGCCGGAACTGGAGTTGAGGTCCGGACCGGAGCCGAAGCTGGGACTGGAGTCGGGAACCGGACGGGGGCCGAGGCCGGAACTGGAGTTGAGGTCCGGACCGGAGCCGAAGCTGGGACTGGAGTCGGGAACCGGACGGGGGCCGAGGCCGGAACTGGAGTTGAGGCCGGAACTGGAGTCGAGAACCGGGCGGAGGCCGAGGCCGGAACTGGAGTTGAGGCCGGAACTGGAGCCGGGAACCGGACGGGGGCCGAGGCCGGAACTGGAGCCGGGAACCGGACGGGGGCCGAGGCCGGAACTGGAGTTGAGGTCCGGACCCGGGCCGAGGCCGGAACTGGAGTCGGGAACCGGAGGGGGGCCGAGGCCGGAACTGGAGTTGAGGTCCGGACCGGGGCCGAGGCTAGAACCGGAGCCGAGGCCGGGAGTGGAGTCGAGGTCCGAACTGGGGCCGAGGCAAGGAAAGGAGCCGAGGCTGGGACCGGAGTCGGCAACCGGACCGGGGCCGAGGCTGGGACCCGAGTCGAGGTCCGGACCGGGGCTGAGGCAAGGAAAGGAGCCGAGGTAGGGACTGGAGTCGGCAACCGGGCCGAGGCTGGGACCCGAGTTGAGGTCCGGACCGAGGCCGAGGCAAGGAAAGGAGCTGAGTTCGGAACCGGGACCGGATTCGAGGGCTGGGCCGGGGCTGAGTCAGGGACCGGAGTCGATGTCGGGACCGGGGCCGAAGCCGGGACCGGGGCCGAGGCCGGGACTGGCATAGCAGTCCGGACCGGGATGGAGGGCCTGACCAGAGTCGAAGCCCGGGCGAAGGCGGAGGTCCGGGCGGGGAATGGGGCAGACGCCCGCGCCTGGTTGTTCATAGGGACCCCGGGGGCCCCGGGGAAACCCGGGTGGGATCCTGCCCGCCCTCCCTCGGTGGGCGAAGAAAGCCTCACCCGCACGAGGGTTCTAAAATGGGACGCGGCCACAAGGGGCACTGTTACACGGCGTTCCACTCGCCACGCAGTTTCTATTGCTCAGGACCAGGGATGAGGCGGGACCTCTAGATTTCGCCTAATTATTCCCATCCCCTTAATCCCCCAACTACCACCACGGCAAGGAACACGCGATTGCCCCGGTGTTGCCCCCATTGCCGTTAATATACATGTGTTCAGTATATGTATATTGAGTTCCTGCCGTGTGCTCTGTCCCCTGTTGGGTGATTCTGGGGACAAAGCAGTGATTAGAACAGCCCTGTCCCAGTGATCAGGCTCCCTGTCCAGTTCGGGAGACATACCCATCACTAAACAATGACAGCCCAGTGTGGTCAGCACTGAAGAGGGGTAGGCACAGCAGAGAAGAGTCAAAGACATGGTGAGGGAAGCACAGGGACCTGTGGGATACCAGAAGAGATACTAGAACTAGTCTGGGGCAATCAGAGCTCCCTAGAAGGGGGGCAACAGAAACCTGTAGAAAATAACAACAGATTTTACATTTATATAGTGCTAAGTGCTACACACACGCCCACAGCTAGGAAGTGGCAGAGCCAGGATTCAAAGGGAAGCTATGGGACTCAAGAGTCCCAGAGCAGAGGAAGAACTCAATTACACTGTGAGCTCCTCCAGGGTGGGGTTTTGTCTTGTTCTCTGCTTAATCCTCAGCTCCTAGAACAAGACATGGCACAGTAGGTGCCCAATAAGTATTTGTCTTTTTATTTTAAACTAGTTTAGCTTAACACTTATAAGAAGTGGAAAAAATAGCGCAGAGGCTTCCTGCGTAACTTTCGTATATACATAACATCTTACATAACTACAGGATGTAAAACCAGGATGTTGACATTGGTCCCATATTATGAGGTCAGGTACAGACCTTATTCAGATTCATGGCAGGGTTTCAAACTGAAGAGTCTTGATACACTGTGCTTCCCAATCCCTGAGCCCTTCCTGTGTTAAATCTTGCAGCTGGATCCAAGGAAGGTTATGGAAGACACTCAATTTTCTGTGTGATGCTAAGCAAGTCTCTACCCATCTTGACTTCAGTTTGCCCCTCTGTGAAATGGGCTTTCCTCTTCTAGATAATATTGAAAACTAACATTTACTGAGCACCTATTTTATTTGCCAACTTCTGTTTAAAAAATCCTTTGCACTGATTAATACAACTCTGAAGCAGATTCTGTTATTCTCATTTTACCAGGAAGGACATTAAGACACAGAGAGGTGAACCGACTTGCTTGAATAAATGGTATAACCAAGATCTGAACCCAGGCAGTCTGACTTCTGTGCATTTGTAGGCTTTTTATTTTACCTTTTTTCCTTTTAGTAATCATTTAGGTTACTTTATGTACTATTGCCATTGTGCTAAATACAATATGTTTTGGCCTGAAAGATTTAAAGCTTGGTCAAAAGAGAAAAAAAATTAAAAGCTGCCCCTTCGTGTGGAATGCCTTCTACCTTAGTCCTCTGGGGCTCTTCTTCCTTTCACATGTAAAGTGAGCGATTTGGACCAGAATAACTTTTCCTTCCCTGTGGGCTGATTCTCTAGGATGGTCCTCCTCGTGCCAGAAACTGCTACTCTACTTTAGATTAAACCTGTAGTAGCCTGCGGGGCAAAGCCATAGAGCAGAGCCTGCTGACTTGGGTAGGGGACCGTTCCCTTATGGTGAATCAGAGAACTTCGGTCATTCCTATTTGATAATCCAGCCAGCTCTGTTGCTGTGATGATTAATGGATGTGGGATGGTGCCAAGACTCCGCCAAAGGTGAGGCATCCTGTAGACCAGAAAGTATATCAACGGAGGAATCCATGGGACTCAACTGCTTGCCTTCAGTTTGTATGCAGACATTGATCAAAAAAATATGATGGGTTCTTCCCATCCAAGATGGGAAGGCACGTCTTCCAGCTTTGCTTTGAAATTGAGTTCTGGTCTCAGCGGGCTGTCCAAGGCAGCAAAGATTCCTTGCCTCTGAACTTTGAGAGTGGTCTTAGAAGGAATCATGGGCTGGTGGTGATGGCTGGTTTTAATCTCAATTTAAATAGTATTTTATAATAGGCTTCTGTTTCAATGTCCATTTGTTCTTTAATGATAGTCATTCCTCATGATACAGAAATTCAATACAGTAGAACCTGAATGTCTAGGTATTTAATCTGTAGTATCTGTTGACTGAATTAAAGGAATAAGCAGACCTCTTGGCTGATCTCTCTCCCTTCCTCTCTCTCTCTAAAATCAATAAAAACATTTTAAAAAAGAAGGTTTCCCCACTCCCAGAACCTGGACTGGCCTTGTGATGCTTTAGCCAATAGGATGGGGGGGAGCAACATGTTCAGTGGCACCCACTCTCTCTAGTACCCCTGCCTCAGCCAAGGGAAGAAGCCAGGGCCAGTCTGCTGGAGGACGAGAGGCCCCATGGAGCAGAGCAGAGCAGTGCAGCCAGCCCCAGCCCACTCCTGAGCTTACTACAATCATTTGTGAGCCCCTCCTAGTTCAGCACAGCACAGCCACAGGCTCTCTTCACCCACAGGAGGAAGTGGAGTGCTAATTACTTCTTGCAGAAGCCAACCATGTATCCTATAGAACCCCATAGTCTGGATTTTGCTCATCCCTGCAATGTTATATAACATGTTCTTGTATCCCCTGAATTTCCTGTAAATTAGTATTCAGTTGAGCTATATCAAATTGCCAATATCCAAAGTTTTAAATCTGAGCAGATCTTAGTGTACCTCCCTTAGGGACAACAGATGGAATCAGTCTGCTACTGGAAAAAGTTGTTACCTGGTGATGTCACGGGAACCCTTCCTGAAGTTTTCCAAAACAATAATGCATATACATGGGAAAACTTTTAAAATAGAACAAAGGTGTACACAGAGAAAAGGCAGTCTCCCCAGGAATTTGTTGTACATCATGGTGGGAGCTGGACTGAGGAAGCAATCTGTCAATACTTGGTGAAATTGGCAGCTGTGCCCTATAACCAGGCAATCTCTCTCCTGGGTATATATCTGTGGCAGACTCTATTCCATTCAAAATATTCACTGTCCCACCCTCACAGAGGATTTACTTACTACCCCATGGATACCAGGCTTAGCCATGTGACTTACTTCAGCCAATAAAATGTGAACAGAAGTGTTAGGAGCCTCAGCACATGGTTCACTATTCCCTTTCCCATAGTGCCCAGAAATGTGCCAGATAGAGGCTGCTCTTAGCTTTAGCCCCAGAGTGAAAACAACATGGAGCAGTCCTAACACCAGATACAAAGCACACAGCCTGATGAGCCAAAGCTGATCAAAATAAGAGTCTTTATAGATGTCTCTGGGGAGATGGAAAGAAAAAAAAAGATATAAATAACCATTATGTACTTCCAACAGTAAAATTCTCCAGCCATCCCTTCCAGGTTTCGTCTGAGGCAGAAATTGGTTGGGCACCATCAAGTAAATACAAAAATATCCAAGCTCTGTCTCCAGGTGCTGATGGAGAAGGAGGAGGAGCAGGTTAGGCCTAGAAACAAAATGTGTAGGAGGCATTAGAAAGGGCTGCCCCTCCCCTCCTCTCCCTCTCCCTCTCCCTACTGAGGGGAAATCAGTGGGGAAGGTCTGCCTGAAGCTCCCCACTGTAACCTCGAAGCCAACAGGTCTCCGGAAAGGGAAGGTAGCAAACATTTCAAAAGGGCAGCAAGAGGGCTACAGAAAGAATTATATTGAGTCAGAACTGAAAAGTGGGTTAAGGACCTTCCAAAGACGACTCCTCATTTTACAGATAAGGTAAAGGAAGGCTACCGGCAAAGCAGGGGCTGCCTCCACCCAGCGTGGGCAATGTTTGCAGAGGGGGTAGCTACCTCCCGAACATAGACCGAAGGAGCAGATATGACGGAAATCTCGGGAGAGTCTCCATCTTCAGGGCGATTCCAATCTACTGACGGGCTGCGAGAAAAAAAATTAAAACCAAGGCTCTTTAAATTCTCAGATCTTGTTTTCCTCACCCACTACCGAGGGGAACCCAAAGCCAACTAGGGGAATTGTGAAATGACCAATCAGAAAAGGGCTGGCAGACCCCTCCCCTCACAATCCACAGGCCCTTTTGTAACATTCTACCAACACTGACCAATTTTTTTTTAAAGTGGAGTTCTTAATTAAAAAAAAAGGGGGGGGGAGCTGGAGCAGAGATAACAGGAAGGGGTATCAGGAAGCCCATCAAGGAATCAGGCCAACTGCACAAAGATTGACAGCTGGACGCCAGCAGCCCAGAGGAACAAGGCATACCTCTGTGGCCCAGCCCCTCACCTCCGGCGATCCCCGGAGCCCTCCTGCGTCCTCATGTTGTTGAGTGCATCGGGGAGCGCAAGGACGGATGGCTCCGGGGTCCCCGCCAGCAAGCGAGACCCAGTATCTGGGCCGGGGCCACAGCGTCGCACATGGACCAGCAAGAGCGCAGCGCCGGCCAAACCCGCGGCCACCAGCAGCCCCAACGCCGGTGGCAAAAGAAAGCGCTGCGGGTCACCCTGCCTTAGGCCCGGCGGGGCCGCGGGCAATGCGCCTGAGCTGTCGTCGTCCGCGCCGTCAGAGTGGACCGGAAACTCGCAGCGCGCGCCCATGTAGCCGGGCGCGCAGGCGCAGACCAG